GGAGCAGGAGGGGGCCCTCGAACTGGCGGGGCCATGGGGGGTGGGGAGAGGAGGTTTCTCACAGAGCAGACAGAGGCCATACAGGGTTAGGGGTGCTCCCTGCCCAGGTTCTGCGCTGTTAGGAGCCTGGCTCCTTCTGCACGGCCCTCCCGGGAGCCGCCCAGCCCTGCGGCAGCCACCCCAGCACCCTGGCTACCCCAGCCCAGCACTGAGGGGACGTGAAGGCCGCTCACAGGCCCGGTGCCCTGAGCACGTGGACAGGCAGTGGGGACGAGAGTGGCCAGCGGGCCTTGCAGGGCAGCACGCAGCACGCCCTCACACCGACCCTGTCCCCAGGTGACCCGGCTCTGCGACCTTTCTGTCGAAGGAGACTCTGTGACCTCCGTGGGCTGGTCTGAGCGGGTGAGCACAGAGGGCGCCCTGCCTGACGGGCAGGATTGCGGGGGACAGCGGGGGTCATGAGGTCCCCTTTGTTCAAGCGTAGGTCTGTCTGTGCCCCAGCTGTCCCCAGCCTTGTCACGGTGGCAAACGTTGGCCCCTCCCCCGGGCCCTCCCCAGTAGCAGACAGTGAGGGAAACCACGAAGCCCCTCCTGTCGGTCCACAGGTTCTAGTTGGCCCAGGGTGGGGGTTTTCATCCCGACGGGGCCCCAGGCGTGGTGGCCAAGTGTCAGCGCCCATGTGCGGGAGGGCGAGAGCGGAGCGCCCACAGGGCCTGGTCACGCCGGGCCCTTCTCTTCTCCAGCCCACCCGGTCCTGGGCCTGCCCTGGGTGCCCGGTGTGTTTCCGGCTGGCGGTCAGCGGGTACTGTGGTTGTCACTGGGGCCCGCCTCTGAGAGCGTGTCACCACTGTCTTGGAGCTGACGGTGTGAACAGGGCACACCGCTACCCCAGAAAGCCGGGAGGAGGGTTTTGGTCGCCGTCTTAGGTCGGGCGTCAGGTTTTTGGGGGAGCCCATGTCCAGGCGGCCAAGGGTTCCTGCCGGACTGAAGCCGCCTGGCCGCGCTGTCGGTTTTAGGGGAACCTGGTGGCAGTTGGCACGCACAAGGGCTTCGTGCAGATCTGGGACGCGGCCGCCGGGAAGAAGCTGTCCATGCTGGAGGGCCACACGGCGCGCGTCGGTGAGCGGGCGGGGCCGGGCAGGGGGCTGGCCGAGGTGCCCCGTCCCCCGCTGTGCCCACCCCGCTCACCTCACCTCCACGGCCTCCAGGGGCGCGCTGGCCTGGAACGCCGACCAGCTGTCATCCGGGAGCCGCGACCGCATGATCCTGCAGAGGGACATCCGGACCCCGCCCCTGCAGTCTGAGCGG